AAATTAAAAAACGAAAGAATCTAAAATAGTAACACAGCACAACAGTACACCTCAACAAACCTTAATTGGTCATTCCTTCACTAATTATTGGTATTCGAAGAAAGTGGGTGCAAGCCAAGCGTCACAAAACAAAAGCATCCTTCCTTTAAATCCTCGTCAATTAGCAGAAAAAATTCCTCTTGAAATTTTTCGTTTTTCTCAAAAGGTATTTTAGCAATAAAACAAGGGTTTGTCCAAGGATGCAGATTAAGAACCTTAAAAAAAATAAAAAATAATATTTAATTTATCAATTATTTAATTAAATATATTTACATAATAATAATATAAAAATTAATATCTATTTTAATAATTTTTTATTATAAAAAATATATTTATTACATTATTATCTTATTCCCTAAAAAAATTCCATAAAAGAAATATAGAACTCCCCTAAACAACGCAATTACATACCGTATTGAAGTCGGACTAATCATCCTCAGCTTCCACCAGTAGACCAACTTTTAGTAGTAGAAATTAAATTAGATGAGGTGGCAACTTCTTTAAGGCAAAACCCATACTTAAGCCCCTCAACTTATCCTATTTCGCTAATGAACTCCTAAACAAAAAATAAGGAAATAAGCCCTCAACCGTTGTGATCACAAAAGATTAGCCCCTCCACTAACGCCTCGTTAGTTCGTGTTAAATTCAACTGATGTGTCAATTAAAATAAGAGTGTTGCTATGGGGACCGAAAGTCCCAGGCCAATTTTGGGATAAGTAATGATTCGCGGGACGACGTTGCGGCCGATTTTGGGGGACGACAAGTGAAGTAGTCTCAACATTAATTACTAATTTGACCCTATTTCACTTGTCGTCCTCCAAAATCGTCCCGCAACATCGTTCCGCGGATCATTACTCTTTTGGGACCAATGATCCCTATAACTTTTTTTTTTTTTATCTTTTTCACTATAAGCTTTTTATTTTTCTAATTTTTAAAGTTTCATATTTTGTAATTTAAATTGTACTAAATTAAAAAATTAATGTCATTAGATGAAGAGGAGGGCTCAATATTCTCACCTAGTCAAATGGTCACTTTTTTGTAGTTTGATATAGTTTATGTTATAAAATAATTTTTTTATAATATTTATTAGTTTCTTTTTTAATTTTTACTCTTAGTTGATTTTTAATTGCAATCACAATCAAAATTGTAAACTCTAACACCCTAAAGTATTGAACTTGAAAAAATTTAAATCCTAACATCTTAAAAATTGAATTTTAAAAAATCTAAATCCTAATGGTTTAAATAATAAATCCTAAAAAATTTAAATCATAATACCTTAAATTTTGAACCTAAAAATTATAATATAAACCCTCGCAAATTAAATATTAAACAAATAAAAATAAGAATTGTAAAACTTAATTTATTAAACTAAAATAATTTTGTTTGATTTTAAAGACTTAAATGATATCTTTTAAATTTAGGGGTTTAAAAGTTTATAATCCAATAAATTTGAGGGTTTAGGATCTCGTTACGCCTTTTCATATATACATGAAAAGGAACAGAAAATTAAATCGACGTGGTATTGCCACGTCCGTCCGGCCTCCTTCGGCACAGGGGGGTTCGGCCATAGTAGCATTATTCAACACCGTAATAAAGAGAAAACTATAGCTCAAAGGCTAGAAGTGGTAAGTGGGCTTAACCGCTTAATATTTGAACGCTACCAAGTGGTTTGACGGTTGCGTTTTATTGGGAGAGGTGGGATATTTATTAGATTTGGAGATCAAATCTTTAATTATTAACAATTAATAAAATTAATTTATTAATCATTATTTTTGTAAAAAAAAAAAAACTGCTTAATATTTATGTAATGCGTTAATTTCACATGAGGAGAAGAATAGTAAAATTGTGAGTGACACATAAATATAAAGATTAATCATTATTAATAATTTGAATTTAATTAAAAATTTATAAATCTTCGTCCAAAGCTTTTTAAACCAGTCACAAAATGCTAATGGTTAGCAGCTTTCGGCCTGAATATTTCTCTAAATTTTGACTTAATGCTACAGTTGTGTAATAGAGGTACGCAACTGCTGATTTCATTTAGTATTGGGTTA